ATTTTGCATGGAGGCTTCATTACGCTACTCATAGTCATCCCCCTCTGCCAACCTCACCTACATCCCTCTGGCCTACGACTGACTGATGCTGGAGAGGTGGAACAGGGTCACAGGCTGTGCTATAGACCATGCTGACTCTCACATCTCTTTATTGGCTCAAAATGATAAGCATTTTAGATGTAAATGTGGCACTTGAGCTTCACTGATTGATGTTAATGTGCTGTTGAACCCTCTACCATGTACAGTGCATATGTAAATGCGCTCTTAATGAAACTTGTTCAGCTGGATCATCATGTATCAGTTATTATATAGTAATAATGACACAACATATCCATCTAGCTGTGTTTTCTTCACTTACACTGAACAGTTACATTACAGACGCAAAGTGGGTTAATAATAAATAATGTATTTTACTTTTATCCTGAAACTAAGATCATTGGGCTGTTAATGTAGTAAAATGTCTCACATAGACACTAAGAAGCAAAAAGGAAAATAGTAGCTGCATAGTTGAATTCAGACTGGAACAGACTTGCATAAAATATCTTTCTTTCTTTCTTTCTTTCTTTAAAATCATAAAGTAAGAAATAAAATGCAATATACTTTAATTTTGGTACAACGGCAAGGGGTAACAGCAGAATCACAGCTGTTTGTGTGTGCGAGTGTGTGTGCATGTGTGTATGTATGAGTGGCTCAAGAATGGGTCATGTGTGCCTCTTATTTTCATTTACCAGACTCACCTTTTCTGAATTTGGCCCATAGTCTGTGATCCCTAGCAAACATCTGTTCCATGTACTCTGTATTCTACACAGCGACTGTTTTAGATCAGATGCTCTTTAGTCATTCATGATGTTTTAATTGAATGCTCACCCTCAGTAGGCTGGTTTGATATTGATTTTTTTTTTTTCCTTGATGATGATTTAATCACACAGAGATGAGCTGTAAAGCTGATCAGCTGTACGACTAAGTGGCATGCTTGAACTGCAGCAGGTTTAGGCTGCGTCTAATTGAAGAACGCATGAAGGATTTTAATGAGGAATAAAAGCTTCTATGAAGCATTTTACGTCACATTTATGAATCCTTTTTTTTCACTCATTAAATTACTGTTTTAACAGACCATAAAATACACATAAAACACAACTCAATAGATAAAATGAATTTAAATGGCTTTTAGGCTATTGCCTGTCAAGTCAAATAAGCCTAGGTACAACACAATCAACCAAACATAAAACAAAAATGCAATGTTTGATAGTAAAATCGGTATATGCCCAGTGTTAGGTGTTTTTTGCACACAGGTTTTGCCATGATGAGAGAGATAGATAGATAGAATTTTTTGTTCTCTCCATTGACTACAGCCACATTCCTCCTGTAATTATTTAGATGCAGCAAACAAGATCATAATATTTTTGCAGAGCTCTAATTTTACGTTAATAAAAAAATAAATAACACTGTTTTTTAACAGTTGAAAACATAATTTACTTCTTTTTTTTTTTTTTTTCTTTTTCTTTTTCTTTTTTTGTTGTGTTTTTTTTCCACCAGGAAGCCAAACATTGACATGTCCGGCAGACATATAGGCTCACAGCATGACGGTATCGAACCAATGCAAGATCATCTGGCGACAATTAGTCTCAGTCGATATAATGATTTAGCCATGAGTTTAGTCATTGTGGTCATGCTGAGAAGCCTTATATGTTCTTAACTGTGTTCTGCTCAAGGATATTGATGTTCCGCATTCTGTAAAAATCGTTCAGAAAAGAAAGAACAGACTCAAATGTGCTATTTGAGCAGGATAAGATTTCCATCCGATCCCTGTTAAGTAATGCCGCCGGAGGATGTCTGTAATGATTATGTACTATAAGCATGCAATAAGCAATCTGTGTATAAATCAGAGATATGAGTGGAGAGATGGGAGTTTTCATGTACACGTGTTTGTCATGCTAAACATTACATGCATACTACATAGACCTCATTTTAATACAAACTGATCCTTTTGAACTTTATTATAACCACTTGATGTAGGCCACTTGTACAGTATATACCTGCTCATTTATGCAGTTATCCAAACAGCCAATTATGTGACAGAAGCACAGTGAATAAAAATCATGCAGATACAGGTCAAGAGCTTAAGTTAATGTTCACATTAAATATCAGAATGGGGAAAAAGTGTGATCTCTGTGACTTTTACCATGGCTTGGTTATTGGTGCCAGATGGGCTGGATTGAGTATTTCAGAAACTGCTGATCTCCTGGGATCAGTCTCTAGAGTTTACACAGAATCGTGCAAAAAAACAAAAAACATCGAGTGAGCAACAGTTCTGTGGGTGGAAACACCTTGTTGATAAGAGAGATCAGAGGAGAATGAACAGACTGGTCCGAGTTGACAGGAAGGATATAGTAAGTCAAATAAGCACTCTTTACAACCATGGTGAGCAGAAAAGCATCTCAGAAAGCACAACACATCAAACTTTGAGTTGGATGAGCTGCAACAGAAGAAGACCACATGAGGTTCCATTCCTGTCAGCTAAGAACCAGAATCTGAGGCTATCTTGGGCACAGACTCACCCAAACTGGAGGTTGAAGACTGAAAAAAGACCAGGTGACCAGGTGAGTCCAGTTTGGGTGAGCCTGTGCCCATGATAGCCTCAGATTCTTGTTATTGGCTGACAGGAGTGGAACCTGATGTGGTCTCCTTCTGAAGGTTTGATGCGTTGTGCTTTCTAAGATGCTTTTCTGCTCACCACAGTTCTAAAGAGCAATTATTTGAGTTACTGTATCCTTCCTGGCAGATTGAATCAATCTGGCCATTTTCCTCTGACCTCTCTTATCAGCAAGGCGTTTCCACCTACAGAACTGTTACTCACTCAATGTTTTTGTCTTTTGCACTGTTCTGTTTAAATTCTAGAGACAGTTGTATGTGAAAATCCCAGAAGATTTGAGAAGTACTCAAACCAGCCCATCTGGTACCAATAATCATGCCATGATCAAAGTCACAGAGATCACACTATTTTTCATTCAGATGTTTCATGTGAGCATTAACTGCAGCTCTTGACCTGTGTCTGCATGATACACACACACACACACACACACACACACACACACACACACACACACACACATATATATATATATATATATATATATATATATATATATATATATATATATATATATATATATATATATATATATATATATATATATATATATATATATATAAAATCCCCTGAAGCATGGTTTCTCTGACAAGTTTTTTTTATATGTCTACATTTTATTGTTCTGTGTTTTTTAAACCCAGCCAAATCTTGGTTTCATTTGAGAGACTTTAAAAAAAAGACTGCTTCACTGAGTCCTTATATTGAAGAGGGAAAATTGGGAACAGTAGCAAAACTCTTTTCCCACAGGACTTAATGGAATCTATATCACTTCAAGTTATTTTTACTGATCATTTTACAGAAGATAAAATACGCCATTATCTTTCCAGACGTGTGCATGCACAGTCCTCAAAAAAAATTACTGACATGACATAAATTCAAATGGGGATAAAATCCCAGAAATAATTACATTACTCCACCAACCCATGTAAAACTAATCCAGTCCAAATAGACCTGAATACACAACCAGAGAGAGATGCATGAAAATTGACACAAAACAAACAGGAGCTCTGAAAATGTCAATTATGGAAGAATTGAATATGGGGGAAAAAATCTGTTTATCACATTTTGAAATGTTTAGATAGTTTCACCAATAGTGTCTTAACTTTCATTTGTTTTGAAATGTTATTTGAGGTAACGAAGTTAAGTTCTTTGTCCATGTCATCATTTCAAAGTAAGGGTGTGCAAACCTTTGCAAACCATTATATGTGGTTTGGCAGGAGTGTATTTTTCTTTAAACCCCTCCACAGTGGAAACAACAGGACTTGATCAGAAATGATTTAAACTCTGACAGAACCTGAACTGATAGCTTCTCGGATGACATGTCTCGGGTGCTCCTGTCTGACCCCTGATATGAACGCTAACCATAGAGCGATACAAGTTTTGGCAGGGGAATATCTGCCTCACCAGGCAACAGAATATTTGATTAATTCTGTGCATTAGCTCAGCTAGGGGGCTGCATTGACGTCAGCTGATAAGTGAGAACATGCACGGCATCATTAAGATTTAGTGTGAATGAGAGGTGGCATGTAAAAGAGGCAATGTAATGATCCAACTCATCAGTGGAAAGTAAAGTCGTGGCACGCTAAAGGCCATAGCCCTTCTGTCTAGACCTGATTAGACCTTCATAACTTAAAGAATTACTATAGGGACACAGGACAGTGTGGGTGGATGTGTGATCTGAACTCGTACCTGCTTTGGGTTTAAATCAGAGGTCACAGGATTTGAATTAGAGCTCAAGATCAGGGCTTTTAAAAATATCATTAATTGCCTGATCACGCTTGTAAAAATTAGGTGGTGTAGATGGTAGTGATGTGTTGATTAGTTCAGTGTTCCTCAGTGGACCATGGCAAAGGATACATCTAAAGGTTAGAGGGACTCATCATGCAATTTAGTTGACGTGTAGCCACACAGATCTGTCAGTCTTTGTTACACACACGAAGCGTAGGTAATGTACAGTTTGCCTATGTAGCGCACAATAATGGTTTTAGCTTATATTTCCATTTACAGCATTTAGCAGAATCCTTTATCCAGAGCCACATGCTTCGTAGTCTCCAAAAACACTTATCTTCATTCTAGTACAAAGTTGCTTTAAAGCCCTGTTAGAACTTGCTTTACCAGTAATGACAGCTATGGCACATTGTACTAGTATAGTATTATACACAGTACATGTTGAGTAGATAAATGTACAGACTGATTCTGCAGTATAATAGATACATAAAATATATGCGTGTGCATTTTTACTCATTTGGCTGATGCTTGTTTTGTCCAAAGTAACTTTGATTTGAGACAGGATATAACTTGAGCAACATAGGGATTAAGGGCCTGGCTCCAGAGCCCAACAGTGTCAGTATGGTGATGCTGGGATTTGAACTCATGACTTTCCCATCAGTAGCCCAATGCTTTAACCACTGAGCTACCACTGGTTCATCCTACAGAAAAGTGTGAGGGGAAAAAATGAGGAACCTGCTACCTCCATCTTTTGTTCCTCTGCTTCACACCCACTCTGCAGGACTGCTATTTGTGGTATTTCTCACTTCTGCTAGTAAATAAGGACTACCAGCTGATCCTTTGTATATACCGCATCACACGTGGTCACTGGAGATACATTCGAGATGTGTGAAAATACTAGATGTGAATGGCTATTTGTCTCGGCTGTCCACTCATGATTACATCTCCCAATGCCAGGTGTGAATGGGGCCAGAGATCCTATGATGTACAGCTACCTCATGCAGCACCACACACAGTTTGTGTACAGTTATCGCTCTTAGGCTCTTCTGGGTTTTTATGCTTGATTAGCTTGGGAATTATTGGTACGTAGAGCAGATTTTCTCCCTGCTGAATGTTACCTTAGGGCTGCAGTGGAAATGAATTAAGGTTGCTCTGTAGAGAGTTGGCTTTGATGGAGGAGGCCTGTGCATCGGTATGCTGGCACTGCAATTTTACTGATGCTGATGGTAGCAAAACTATTTTTTCCTTTCATCCTTTAAAGCATTCAAATGAGTATGAATCAGCTTAATATAGGATTGACTGCACCTGGTCCAACCTCGATTTTTTTTGGGTTCTTTCTAGAGAACTCTTTTGAATGCACCTTGTGCTCCAGAGGTGACTCAATACAATGTCTATGATATTTTAGTCTTTCAACCTCAGCAGAAAGTCAGCAATCCTGGATGAGCTTTCTAAGACCAGATCCAAGGCCTCCACTCTCTACCCAAATCTCAGTTTCCTAACACGAATGCCTAATCATCCCCAATGAGCAATGAGTCAACTGGCAAAGCAGAGGGACTGATTGTGTGGTTAGCATGGATCATTTCCCTTTCTGCTCACTTTTGCCAAACTCTGCTTCCTGCCCCATAATAGTAGAATGAATGCCAGTGTAACCTCCCAGACTCCATGAAACTCTTTTTTGGCCACTGGACAATGCAAGGAGATTAGATATAAGCAATGCATACTACACCAAAATACCAGTCATCTTAAAATAGTATGTTTTGGCTGGTGTGAATGTTATACTTTTTTGATCCTCTCATCCTTTTCATGTTAAGTTATAGCTCTCTGCATTAGTCATAATCTCTCTAGTAGAATAACTGATGCTGGGTGGATTCATGCAAGCTTGTTTATATGCAGCTGTGAAATTCTCCTAGGTGATGAATTACCCCTGAAAGCAGTCGCTATGTACAGATCAGACTTAATCTGATTTATTTCAGCGACTCAGGCTCAGGGTGTGTAGTCTAAGATCACATTAATCTTAAAATGAATGATTGTTTCATTCATTCTTTTGTTTTTTTTCTTTCCTGAATTCCAAATTGAATAACATTTGGAGGGACATTACTCTGAAGTACGTCAGCTGGGGGGGGGGATGCAGATAAAGTGGTCAATTAATATCACGGACAATTTTTATAGTGGTTGGCAGTAACAGTGTGTTTTAGCTGGCAGTCATAACAATCTGTTTGAAGTGTTTTAGTTGTGTTTTTTTTCTTTCTGCACTACAGTTGGTGTGCTTCCTCTCAGTTTCTCAGTAAAATAGATCAAATAAATGTTTGGAAGTAAGATGCTAGGATTTGTCACTGGGTCTAATTTATAGAGTCTGCGTAAATGCACAAATAAGCAGCCAGATCAGGTTGAACCTGGGAGGCAATGGGAGAGCCCTGTTCTGTAAATCGTTCCTAGCTTTGTGGTTGTTAGCTTTTCCACAGCTGGAGGCCATATTGCTAGTTGCCGTTTCTGTTCTCTAAAACCAGTCCCAGACTATAATTCACCCAAGCTTTTCCATATACACTGCCTTACTTGGAGAAAAAAAAAAACTGGATGAAAGCCCTGCATGTAGCTGTCACTGGTGCTGACAAATGTGTGTGTGGATGAGTCGGCCATGTTGTGGTTTGAGACATAACAAACTCTATGTCAGGCCTCCCAGACCACAGATTGGCCTTTCCAAGTGGGAGTATGGCAGCTTTTCTCAGAATTCTAATGCTGCTGCAGACAAAAATAGACTAGGCAACATTTCGATTGTGAGCCTATTAGGAACTAGTTTCAGTCTGTATGAATTTAATGCTGAATGTAGTGCTCCAAGAAATGTGTTGGGCACTGAAATGTGGGGCTTTGATGGATTGGACACATGTCCACCCAGGTCTGTGGAAGCTCTTTCTCTTATCCTATATTGTTATATGATATGATAATGCATTTATGATTACTCTCAGATTTAGTGATGTTCAAATATAGTGCATATGTATACACGACATATACACATACACATCTACTACCTAGATATTTCAGATATGTATCATTTTAATATTTAAGAAATTCCATCTTTTACCAACCATTTACTTGCACTGCTATTACTCAGTCGTTTTTTTTTTTTTTTGCAGAGTAAGCTGGCCTAGATGAAGTGTTCAAAGCCACATGTACTGGAGTCTCTCGGGACATCTGTAAACTTTATTATTGTTCTTATTATTTGAGATATTCTTGCTCATGCACCATGGTTATTATCTGCACCTGTCCATTGGAAAGCCAGACTGTAGACTTGGACAGAAAACAGACTTTGAAGCAGTGCTCAGACCAAATGTGAATAAAATTTGTTCACTGAAGGGGAAAGGACGCAGGACATGAAAGGCACACATTTGCTTCTGGTAGTAGTTAATTTTTCTCTTCACGCTGATTTGATCTAGATGAATTTAGACCTGGGAATTTGCAAGCATCAGGTGTGTGAGCTGGTATTAAAAAAAAAAAAAACAAGAACATGGGATTGTGAAGGAACTGCTAATTAAGTAGCAGACTTTTGCCTTAGCAACATGTCTAAAATACAACTGCCAAAACCAGCATTTTGTTTAACTCGATGGTCTCACATGATAATTCTACCTGCTACCAAAAATAGAGTCTCTGGATCTGACTGGGAGAAACTGAAAAACAACCATGCGATGGACACAGTTACTGACATCACATTTTTCCCCATTCTGATGTTTGATGTAAGCATTAACTGAAGCTCTTGACCTGTATTTGCATGATTCTATGCATTGTGCTGCTGCTACTTGATTGGCTGATTGGATAATTGCATGAATGTGAAGGGGTACAAGCGTTCCTATTAAAGTGTCTAGTGAGTGTATATTGAGTATTGTGTGTTCCTGTTTGGCCAGACACTGCTTGATTTGTTTGATATGTTCCTGTGATTATAGTAATAAGTGCTTTTACTATACCGATGCTCATATATATACAAATATCAACGGATTATAAAAATCAGTCTTTCACAACAGTATAATATGGACATGGACTGGACTGCAGACTGGATATGCATTTATATTAATTTTATAACAGTTGTATAGTCTGCTTATATACTCGGCTACAAATCCTAACATTTTTGCAGATTGCAGTTAAATATCAGTTCAACCAGTATGTTTTATCATTTAAGCTGTTTAAGCCATCATGTCCACTGCCATGCAGTAAAAATATGGGTGGTTTTTTTTTTTTTTGGTTTCTTTCATTGCCTGCAAGGATTTTCTTGTTAGCAGTGTTGGAACCTCTTCCACTGTCATGGATTACATGATATTTTTAATAGAGAATGCAAGGGGCTGTGAAATGAGCTTGCAGAGCAGTGTGTGTATGGCTATTCCGTTGAGACCTCCCTGCTCCAGAAGTGTCAAAAACTGAACAATTCTCAATTGAGCAAGTGTCCGTTGACCCGCTAGTAAGTTTTTGTCGATGCATCAGGCAAGCATCTAGAAAATTACTGCCTCCATTTTAGTGGCACATCTTTTACACGGAGTTAAAAGTTTATTAAATACACCTGAACTGACAGCCAAGTGTATATGGGATGAAAAATAAACAATATAAAAGTTGCCAGTGAGTTAGATACTTGATAGTTATATCTAATCTGGCAAGCCACAGTGTCGCATAGCAGGTTTATACTCAGCATGTCTGTTCCTATGCTATCCGTGCATCTGTATACGAGGCATGCTTTAGGGAAATTCCCCCAGAGAGTTGAAGTGGCTGGCGGCTGATTGAATCTGCTTTATGCTCTTCTTTCTTCCCCACCAGCACATCACTCCAGACAGCTACATCCCCTGCCTGACTGACCTGTGCAAAGCATTGTGGGAGGTGATGCTCAGTTACTACCGGACCATGCAGTGGCATGAGGAGCATGACAAAGAGGAGGTGAAGGATGCTGAAACAGGTAAATTATGCATAACTTGTTATACCATCCTGTTGTACTATAAAAGTCTCTCACTCTCTATTTACTCTCCAAAATGTATGAAGTTTACTGAAAGTTACATGTGTACCAAATTCTATTCAACATAATATGACCGCTCGATTACTTATACAGACAAATATGGTATTGTTTGAAAGCGTGAAATTCACAAGCTTGACAAAATGTTTCAATGAGTTCAAGAGGCAATTAAAAAAGGGATAATTAATCTAAATGGGTTTTTGCAGTTTAATTTGGATTTTCTGTTCTGGATTTTGTAAAAAATTTTTGTAGCCTAATGTCATTTAAGAAAGTTTTGATTAAACAGTCCCGACATTCCTTTTTTTGTGGGTTTGAATGTTGGTGAACTTCAAGTAAAAGACAAACTGGCCCTGTTTGTGTTGTTTACAGAAAGTGTAAGTGTTGCATTTTGATTATAAAATGAACATGAATTTTGATTCTCAAATAAACATGTACACATCATTTTCAGTATTTAGCACTTTCTATACTAAATGAAAGCAGTTCTTGGTTCACCACTAGTTGACATAAAGAGTCAGATTTGTGAATGTTCATATCTGATTTATTGCTTATCCTTGCTGTTGGGTCTTGATACTGCTAATTGTCATGGGGGCTAATGTCAGAATTGTTTGATTGTAGAATCTGAGAAACTTTTCAACTAAATTGAGTTTAATTAATGAAAAGTTGTTATTTTTCCTGTCCTGGCCAAGTAGTATGTGCCAGCAGTATAATA